ATGCTAATAAACAATGTGAACCACAATACAAATGGTAACCCTAGCCAATTCATGGTGGGAATTCCACTAAATTCCCATTACTTAGTGCCATTGAATTGCACCCATATTAACCAAGTACTGATGTCTATATAAATACCATAGAAATTAGCCCAACTATAAAAAATAATTTTTTTAGTATAGGAGCTTTCGATCGAAGATAAATATCTTAACTAATTCAACTATATTCAGATTCACACACAAAATAATTTTAATATTACTTCAGAAGTGTATAGGGGAGGACTCTAACTCTAAACTCGTAAATCAAAGCAATATTTTAAAAGCAAAACTTCAAGATGAAATAGTAGATATATGTAATGGTGATTGATCAAAAGAAGAAACCAACTGATTTCGAAGATCTTGATGACAGTTTTGAAGGTGATAAAAGAAAATCTGGAGAGGGGTGTAGAGCGACGACGAAGGAGAATCTGAAGAGGAAACTCTTGGTGATGACAAAGGAGACTTTGGAGAGGATGATGGTTTTGAAGGGGACGACGAAGGTAAAAGGTGGCAAAGGTGATGTGGAAGACGATGGGTTTGAAGGTGATGATGTTGAAGGCAACCGATGATGATTCTAGAGGTGGTGAAAATAGGGATAATGATAATAATTAGTGACAATGGTGTTAGTGCAAGAAAGTTGATGATTAGTAAAGAGCAAGTTAGGTTCCTATTAATGCGTGCCTATTTGAATCTAGTTCGACTGGTGAAAGTATCTATCTCAAACTAAAAGGTTGTAACTTCGAATCTCCACCCCACATGCATGTTGCATTTAATAAAGAAAGTTAAATCACTGTAATTGAAGAGGATGAAAAGAAGAATAACAAATGATATTGACCATTTACCAAACATGGATACAGATTGAAAGTTCATGGGCTAAACTTATTATATTTTGCTTAAGTCTATTTTTATTGTTATTTGTTGTAATAATATTTGCGTCAATTTTGCTACAAGAGCTAAAATTTATCATTGCATTTATCGATTGTAGTAGAAGTTATATTTAATGTGTTTGACTTGAAGTTGAGATACTGATGCATGTTCTTCCCTTTAAAAAAACAAAACTAGACTAACTTGCTCTCATACCTTTCTTCTTTTATTCTCGTCCTTATACCCTCCAAAGTTCTAATTTAATCTCAAACTCAATTAGATTGTTATAGTTAAACTTCGATATAACCTGCATCTTTGACCAAAACAATACAAGTTACATAAAAAGATCGTATTAATAATTCCCACACCCACTTGTTGTACTAAAAAACCAACAAGGGTGAGAATTCGATTATCTAATCTTTTGATCGATATTATAATGCATGAATTAGTTGAATTATATTTATGATGACCAAATTTTATTTCATTTTTTCTTTTTTTAAGTTCAACAAATGTGCCACGTCCTGGAATATATTTAGGACTCCACTAGTGCTAGTTATAAAATATTTATTCATATCTTTAATATTTTAGAGTGATTAATTAATTCGATCGTGAGTCTAGTGTTCTCATTCATGATATAATTGGTAGAAAATCACCTTAGTGCTAATCATTAAAATATTCTAAGATTTACTTTATGATAACAATATAAGTGGCCCGAGACGTTAACATAAAATATTAAAAGAGAAAAAAATGACAACATATATCAATTAGTTACATCATTATTTCCTTCCTTTAACGTTGGAGGTTAGAATTCCTTCGCTTATTTTGAAATTCAATATGATATTTGTGGTTATGCATCATTTATTCATATAGTTGTTGAAAATAAATGATTAACTATATATTTTTAGTAAAAATATAAATTTACATAAAAGTTTTATGATTTAGAATGTCTAAAGATATGGGTGGGCGCATTTGATTTAATGTAGACTGTTTTGTAGTGTGTAGAGGAATGCACTTCTAAATTACTTAAATCAATGTAGGCTGTATGTTTGACTCGTGAGTGCGTAATTATTTTTAAAAGCTAGTGCATAGTCTAATTTGAAAATATAGATCCTATGTAGTTCATGAAATTAGGAAATTCATTAACAGTACGACAAAAGTGAATCTTCGACCTCAAAAGAAGTAACGTGCTTTAGCTGTTAAATTATGTTCATGTTGGTGGAAATTCACGATTTGACGCTACAAGAAATAAGGTTTCTTACGATGTTCCAAAACATCTGGAAAAACCTTAAAATAGTTGGGAGTGACTTTTCCCAACTAAAAAATGTGAAGTTTTTCCAACGAAAAATATTCGGGAGTGTCCTTTCCTGACGCACTTTTCTCAACCCTATTGGAAGAAAATAACGGTTCAAAACAGTTGAGAAAAGTAACCCTTTATATTTTCTCAACTTTATTAGAAAAAATGTTAGAATATATACATATATATACATTTTTTTTAGTGTGAGCTAGGTAAACTAACACATTAAATCGAAATTTTTGTAACTTATGACTATATAGATAAATCTAGTTCTCTTTTTTTTCAATACAATCAGATGTGAGATTCGAATCCATAAATCTAATTCAGGTTAGCGTATAAATCCAATTCATAAATTAACTATCACTTAGAAAATTATTTACTATCTAATAATGTGACCATATAAAAATGATATCTCTAGTAGGACACCAAAATTAATGTGGCTTTGGTGGGAATTCCACTAAATCCCCATTCCTTAGTAGTGCCATTAAATTCCACCGTGACTAAGCAATGACACATCTATAAATAACCAATGGAGTTCAAGCTTCAATCACACAACACAATTTCAATATCAAAGAGAGAACTTATAAAGTGTTGTCTGTAGAGAGATCATGAAGTTGAAATTTCTCTTCTTCCTTTTAGTTGCTATTCTCTCTACCCTTCTACTTTCTCGAGATGTCGATGGTAGAAAATCTTTACTCCAAAAAAAGGATAGAGAAGACTCTAAGTTCGTTAAACAAAGTATTGTTTTAGATGCAGGCTCTCATGGTGAAATGGTAGATGCAATTACGACCTATCATCATAATAAGAAACCAGTTGATTTAGAAGATCCTGGTGACGAAGAAGGTGAAAGTTCCAAAGATGAAGGAGAATCTGGGGATGAGGGAGAATCTGGAGATGACGAAGGAGAATCTGGAGATGAGGGAGTTCCTGGAGACGACGAAGGAGAATCTGGAGATCAGGGAGTTCCCGAAGGAGATTCTGAAGATGATAATGAAGGAGATTCTGGAGATGGCGTTCCTGTCAACGACAATGGAAAACTTGGAGGTGGTGATGGACATGAAGATGCTGTAGTCAATCAAGAAGATGATTTTAGAGGTGTTGAAACTTACCATAATGATAACAACAGCGATGGCGAAAAGGGGAAAAGTGGTGTCAATGCCAAGAAAGTTGGTGATTAAGAAAGAGTTAGCCAGGTTGGTGTGATGATGGTGAGAATAAAATATGGGAAGAATAAAGTTGGATAAATGTTCGCGAGGAATTTCAATGAAGAGAAACTCGAATTACTAAACTTGTATTTGTATTTATGTATGTAGTGTTACAATCTCTAATGTATAATCCTCTGATGCTTTGATATCTTAGATGTAAACTTTAACAAGGGGGCGTGAGCTTGTTCTTAAATCAATGATATTGATACTTTCAGCTTCTTGCTTGTCAAATGATCTTTGAAGTCTTCGACTTTGAGCTTGTTAAAGAATCTTTGAAGTCTTCAATTTTGCGCTCGTTGAAAAATCTTTGAAGTCTTCGGCTTTGAATTTGTGAAGTTTTCCGGCTTGTAGCTTATGAAGTTCTTCAGCTTGTAGCTTGATGAAGTTCTTCGAATATGCATCTTGTTGAAGTTCTTAAACTTGTAGCTTGTGAAGTTCTTCGGCTTGTTGAAGTTCTTCTGCCTGTACCGTGTGAAGTTCTTCGGCTTGTTGGAGTTCTTCGACTTGTAGTTTGTGAAGTTATTTGAAGTCTTCGACTTTTAGCTTGTTGAAGATCTTCAACTTATAGTTTTGATGGAGTCTTCGACTTGCAGTGGATGAAGTTTGCAACTTGATGAAGTCTTCAAGTCTCGTTGCTTGAAAAGAGTTCTAAGAGAATATACAACATTCTCGAAGTCTCGCTGTCTTCAAGTATTAAACTTTGTCTTCAAGTCTTGTTGATTTTTGATGATGATTGTAGATGATTTTAAACGCTCTAATGGCTTGGGAGGAGATTCCTCCCAATAATTCTCTCCCCTACAAATGAGAGGTGACCCCTCTATTTATAGAGTTTTGGTGGGTCTTATATAAGCTATAAACTTAATGAACTTGGGCCAAATTTCCTTATAGATTAATCCAATTAGCTGATGTCATCGAACGACTATAAGAGAGACACGTGACATAATTTGATTAAGCGATTTTTAAATAATTTTGAACACGTATAATTTTATGATTGATCTTAAATATAATTTTAAATTGTGATGTGACATTTATTAATTGGCCAAAATTTCTAATCCAACACTAAAAAATTAAACAAATTAAGTCCATCAATAATTAGAAATGTATTGCATCAAAGCATATGAATGTAGCTAAGAGCTAGTAAGATAAATAGTTTAAAATTTCTCTCAAACTCTATTTTTGATTGGAAAAAAATCTGTATAATCTTTATTTGATTACAAAGTTTCTTACTAATAACCATAATTTATATAATTAATTAGAAAAAACTCAATTTCCGATATCATGTGTAATAATATATAAATAAATATGAAGAACAAAGTTAATTAAAATGTTAGATTTTCCTTTTTATTTTCGTAATTGAAAACAAAAAAAGATCAACTATTAATGTTTTTTATAATTTTCCTTTTATAAATTTTCAAAATTTTGAAAGATTTTATTAAAATGAAACATAATTTGAAGGTGGTAAGCTCATGATGACTCCCCACACGTGTCATCGTTCGAGTAACTGAAAGATAAAAATATTTTTGTTAAATTTTTATTTTTTATTTGTACAAAACGAGAGATTTTAGGATTTAAAATAAGGCAAAAATCAAATCTAACTCAACCCAAAAACTCCAAAATGTTCAACCAATTTATTCGAGTATAAAGCTTTTCGACTTTGTTTCTTCACAGTATTCTTTCTATTCGAATCCCTTTAAGCCTCTGAACTGCCGCTGATTCTTCTCGCCGTCTTCCATTTGGGGTTTTGAATCGAAGATCCATTTATCAGGATGCGATCAGAATACGATCGATTCTCTCGCCGTTCAAGAACACAACAACAAACAGGTCATTTCCTCTGTTCCTTCGATTTTAATGCTCCTAATGATAAATATCTGAGTTCACTTCACGCTCTGGTTTTATTGCTCGTTTTTGCTCGTAATCGAGTCAGTTCCTTACTTAATTCGTTAATTAGTGCCTAGTTGTGTGTACCAGTTTTTGATTCTTCCGAATCCCAAAAGGTTAATGGTGAATTTAGTCATGTATTCATGTTCATCATGCACGACAAGGCGTAGAGGAATCTACATTACGAAGGTTTGAAGAAGTAAGGGAGATGAGAGTTGGTCCCAAGTTAAAGATTTTTAAGGTTTTCTCTCTAATTGGTCTCCATAGATTTTCAAAATTGAAAAAGATAGAACCTGAAAAGTTTCCTTTCCATAAAAGAATTTTTAGCTTCTCCATTTCCTTGCTCTAATAACATGTTCAATCATCAATAGACCTGAAAGCTTAAGTTGATAGACATATGGTAATGGGCTTTTTTTTTTTTTTTTTTAACGTTCTCTCTGTGATTTCTTGTTTTCTTGGTGCAGAATGTTCTTCTGGAATTTGAGCGAGTGTTCAGCAGGTAGTTGCCGGTATGTTGTATCATCTTATACTGGAAGCCACCGATGGTGGTAAGAAGAAGGTTTATGAAGCCAAAGTCTGGGAGAAGCTTTGGATGAACTTCAAAGAGTTGCAGGAATCCAAAGCATGCCCATGATGGATCTCGAGGTACTGATCTGCTCCTAGTGCTAAATCCGGTAGGGGATCATTCTGATTGAAGTTTACTATATACTGTATATGTCTGCACTAGGACATTATATGTAACTGCCAATAGTTTGATTTTTGGCTTTTGAATGTCATATGGATTGAAACTAGTCTCAGATAAATGAAGATAAAGAGAAGAAGAAAATGGTAGTCATTATGTCGTCTCAAAAGCTGAACACAGATTAAGGGTGCGAGACTAGTTGATCCTCTCTTCAGTCTGCCCTTCTTTTTGGTTCTGATTGTTCATCTACTTGGTGGAATTATTGATTGGGAGATGGGTGGTGGTGTCATCTAAGGTTTTTAAGGTTTGAAGGGCCCTATCCGCTACAAAAAGAAGTTTGAAGAAGGAAGGGAGAGGAGAGTTGGTCCCAAGTTAAAGATTTTAAGGTTTTCTCTCTAATTGGTCTCCCTAGATTTTCAAAATTGAAAAAGATAGAACCTGAAAAGTTTCCCTTCCCTAAAAAAACTTCGAGCTCCGCCGTTGCCTTTTGCTCTAATAACATTTTCAATCATCAATAGACCTGAAAACTTGAGTTGATAGACATATGGTAATGGGTTTTTTTACGTTCTCTCTCTGATTTCTTGTTTCCTTGGTGCAGAATGCTCTTCTGGAATTTGAGCGGGTGTGAAGGCTAAAACAGCAGGTAGTTTCCGGTATGTCGTATCATCTTACACTGGAAGCCATCGATGGTGGTAAGAAGAAGGTTTATGAAGCCAAGGTCTGGGTGCAGCCAATGAACTTCCAAGAGTTGCAGGAATTCAACGCATGCCCATGATGGATCTCCAGGTACTGATCTGCTCCTTGTGCTAAATCTGGCAGGAATCATTCTGATTGAAGTTTACTATATACTCTATATATCTGCACTAGAACATTATATGTATCTGCCAGTAGTTTGATTTTTGGCTTTTGAATGCCATATGGATCGAAACTAATGTCAGACAATGAAAAGAGATAAAGAGAAGAAGAAAATGGTAGTCATTATGTCGTCTCAAAAGCTGAACACAGATTAAGGGTGTGAGACTAGTTGATCCTCTCTTCAGTCTTCCCTTCTTTTTGGTTGTGATTGTTCATCTACTTGGTGGAATTATTCATTGAGAGATGGGTGGTGGTTTCATCTAAGGTTTTTAAGGTTTGGAGGGCCCTATCCGAAAAGAAGTGTAAGTTCCAAAATGTTACAAGAGCTAAAAAGGTATTTAACCTAAACGAATATCGTACTACTAGCAAATCACGGATGAGTTTTGCAAATAGGGTCATTGGCAAGGGCATGAGACTCTGTGGTATCATCTATCATCTAAACTTGTGTTCGAACCTTTGGATGAGCTTAATATGAATTCCAAAAACCCTTAATGTCTCTTTGAGTCCAGGTCTTGGAGTGGGGGCATCTGTCCCCGTTATAGGGGTAAAAAGCTAAAGAGCTATCAATTTTGAGTAATAAAAAAAATGGTTTTGATGATGTTTTGGATGTAACAATCTAATGTATAAGCTTAAAAAAATATAACTATTGAGTTCATGATTCAAAAGTTTTTTGCTGTAATTGAGGCATATCGATAAAAATTTAACTTAAATGTGCTCATAACTCATGGATAGGTCATCTTTCAATCAAATTTTTAATTCAAGGATATAATTGTTACACCTTTTCAAAGTATAAGGAAACCATCATTATAAAGGTATGAGGATGAAAATGTTACAAGAGTCACATTACATTAACTAATAGACTAATAGTATATTGATAGGAATGCTATTAGCATAGAATTGGAGATATGATTAGGATACCAACGTTGCATATTAGTAATTAGATAGGAAAGTTGTTAGGGGTTCTGTTATAAATAGGATGAGTGAGAAGGATTGAGATAGGAATTGGTTAGTATGGTGTAGGCTCGAGTAAGAATACTTAAGAGAGGGGAGGGTCAAAGTACCTTGAATTCTTGGGGAGTTATTGTAGTTATTCTATCTTTTATACTTCAATATATTTCTAGCTTGGGTGGCTTTGGGCTTCAAGGAATATCTTTGAGATCTTGGGTTCAAGTCACATGGAACGCAACTCCACCAAACAATGATCCCTTGCATATGTATGAGTATAGGGACAGTGTGCATACCCCAAGTATAGGGGCAAAAAGGCCAAAGGCCGCCGACTCCTAGGTAATAAAAAAAATTTCTAGTTTGGGTTCTATCATATCAGTCTATTCCTTCACTATGGTAGGGAAGAATTTGTGAGAGCCCTAATAGAGGTAGTTTGGGAATAGTATTAGTATTGTAGTTAAGGGTGTTATGGTAATTAGTTAAGGGTGAGTTGGTTATAAATAGAAGTATTAGGGAGAGAGGGGAGGTATCTTGGAGAATAGTTTTGTGTAAGGAACTTGGGAGAGAGATAGTCCTCTCGAAAGGCTATCGACATTGTAATTTCTCTTTGGGTATTGCAATATAGTTATCTTGTTAGGTTCTCGTATTCGGGTACCTAACAAATTGGTATCAGAGCAAGTTCATCCTGGTCATGGATCGTGATTGTGTGTTGGAGTTCATGCTAAACGTTCAGAGATGTTTGGCCGAAGAAAGTGATCTTATGAAACAAATGCAACAAAAAATAGAAGCTAGGCTACGAAGAATAGAAGAAGTATACGAAAAGCAATTAGGTTGGGATATCGAAAGCAGGGGCGAAGAGTGGCTGGAAGGCGACATCGTACCCAAGAACGTGGATTGGAGTTCGATGGAAAATCAACCGAGGAGGGAAAAGTTCAGCGTGTAGGGATTCATCAATAACAGAGGAGAAATACAAAGAAAATGAATGTCCAAAAAGGAAGGACAAGAGTTTGAAAATGGCGGGATCGGTTTTGCACGATGGTTTACCGATGAAGAAGAGGCGGAAAAAGAAGAGAGAACGAATACTGGGAAGGAAGGCTCGGATGCAACGTCGGAGACATACAACTTGCAACAGAGGCTAGATGTGGGAAGGGAAGCTGACCACTGTTGGTTCTGTGGCAAGAAACAAAAAGCCGAAGGGGATGGGCTTGTAGTACCGGTGAAACTCGGGGAGAATGGGAATGGGAGACATACAACCTGCTGCCGGCCACCACCATCTTTCGCACAACCCGCCGTCTGCCGCACACACCGCCCGCCACCGTTAGTTAGTAGTCAAAGTCTTGGGTTTGAGATATGCTAGGTTTTTAATATTTTTAGGTGTTAAATTAAAAAAAAAATAGAAAAAAAGACGGTTAAATTCGTTTTTTGTACGCACACCTTGAGGACAAGGTGTCTTTGAAGGGCGGGGTAATGTGAGAGCCCTAATAGAAGTAGTTTGGGAATAGTATTAGTATTGTAGTTAAAGGTGTTATGGTAATTAGATTTATGAGATTTATAAGTTGTAGGAAACGGTTCGTTTGGTGGGTTGTGTGGTCTCTCTATTTTTGTTATGTTATCTTGGTCTGGTTTTTTGATAAGAAACATCAGAATGCAATAACAAAGGCCAAAAAAAAAAATATATATATAGCCTAGGGGTCGGGAAAAGAGAGAACTCCCATCCAAACAAGAGCTATAGGATCAATGTCTTCCAATCAGCTCATGATGAGGCTATAATTACAAAAGAATTTCTTGTGGTTTGTACACCACCAAGAGGTAGTATGTTGTACACTACTCCATTAAAAATCTAGGCAGACAACCCATCTTCAAAAGTTAGCCCTCACATCACAACTTGATAAGACGTTAGCTTTGCCTCCTAGCCAAAAAACTCCCAAGGTACTCCAAAAGCCACACATACACCTTCTCCAGAAGACAAATCGCCAGATCAAAGACCTCAAAGAGGGAGGACCACGCAAATTATGCAAAGGGGCAGAAGATAAACAAATGGTTTAAGGTCTCAGCTTCTTTATAGCAAAGGTAGCATATGGAGGGAGAAAGCTACCACCTAGGGAACTTCCTTTTGAAGCTTGTCAGCCGTATTCAAACCCTCTGTACAAAGAAGCTTTCTTTATGGAGAAAAGTCTTCTTTTCTATAAACAGGGTAGAATAACTTTTATTTATCTTTCTTTTCTAGAATTCTGAGTGTTGGGCTACCAAGTCACAAAATGCCGATGCAAAATTCTCATTTTTTGGGCATAGAGAATTTGATTCATAGAAAACTTATCCATTTGGCTAATGGTTGTGCCAGTTCTCCCTAGAATCCAGGACTTTTTGGTATACGATTGTTGTTATGGTTTGAGTTAACTATTGTCGATGGCGCTCATTGTAGAGTCCCATGAAGTATCGTTTGTTGGGTATTCTTGGTTTTGAGATCATTGCGATTCCGCTTCCGAGAATGGAGCTCATGCTAATTTTTTGGGAGCATCATAGATTGATTTGGGTCATTTAACACCATACATACCATCTAGAGACTAGAAGGTTGTTTCTCTTTGCCTTTTCCTCTAGTGGTGTATTATGTATAAAGGACTAAGGAGAGGGTTAAAGACTAGGATCATGTTTTGTGGTATCATCCTTTCTTGGCATGGATTGGAGAAAGCTGTCTCTCTTTCTCTATCTTTGATGTTTTTGAACAAGTAGTATAAAGACACCTTGTGTGAACTGCCACTTTGAGGAACAATATTGGATCTCTTAGAGAGATGAAAATCAGATCTTACTAATGTAGAATCGTACGTGTTGTTTTAGTTTATCGTCTATATGCAAGCATATCACGTATCAAACTGTCACATCAACTTCCATGCATACATTAGGTTTTGTGTTACTATTTAACTAGATAGCTAACATCTAAATTCTAAAACTAAGTTGATGTATTTGTAAAGGTATTCAAACGAGGAGAAGAGAACATGACTCAAAATGCAAACTATAGTTGTGAATCTGCGATCATGGTGTATTATTAGAATCGAGTATCGTGTTGCAAAATTGCTTTCTATGAATGTTCCTCATCAAATGTTTGCTTGTTTTTGGATGGCAGGTAACTGAAGACCATGCATGTTCTCCCATATGGATTGCTGCTGAAGGTAACAACAGAATACACAATTAGTTGAATATTGTAGGAGTGGAAGATGAGTTGCATGTCTTGAGCCATGCTTATGCTGCCATGAATTGTAAAAGTTAATGTTGTTGTGATCGTTGAAATTTTGACACAAACAATGACCTCGTTTTTATCGAAATATCGTGTAGCTTGTTGGCCTAGTCGGTTGGTTGAGACTCGTCAAGGTTTGAATACTTTTTTGGAGGGAAGGACGACAATCTCGTCTTCTTTATTAATAAATTGGTCATTTGGTAACAAACACACTAGATGATAACAAGATAGAATAACTTTGTACATGATGTTTGTTCAGAAATAGGAAGTTATCGGAATGTCGAAAATCACTATTTAACATGAAGTTGAGTATAAGGACAGAAAAAGTCTCTCCTTATATTTAATTTTTGGGAATAGGAATAGGGAATAAATTCTTTGCCTTGCCCTTACATAAAATTTTTGAATTATTAATATATATTTAATAACCTATTTCTATTGTTTTATAAATATTAAATGTAACTGAGGCACATAACTTAGCTAGCTAATGCATTTATTCTCGATCTTTCGAACTATTATTCCTACCTGTTAAAAAGAAGAATTTAAGCGGTATTTTCCTATATATATATATATATACATACTTTATAGATGAATTTAGAGAAGATCCTCTAGGTCAATTAGTAAAGGTATGGTATATATCTTTGATATCGTTTTTATACATTTTTTCGATTAAATTTTATGTTCGTTTCATGAATTTTACTCATCATAAAATTAAGAGTAGAGAAAAATCTTCAATATTGTTATGGAATATTAAATAAAGTAGTATAGTGCTTTTTAAATTAAAAATTCGATGAAAAGATGTGTTTGAAATATTATTCTTTAAATTTTATTTTCTTTACTTTTTTTTCACAATTTATGATGTTATTTTCTTCAAAATATATAATTTTGAAAACAAAAGGTGGTTTTTTTTTTTTTTTTAATGTGGGTGGGGAATCAACTGTCAAAAGTTTTTATATGAAATGAATGTTGATGATTCAAATGGGGCATTTCATCATTACTAACTTTAATTATGATATTTTATGTCAATCTTGAGTTTAGTTGAACAACAATTGGCATTTATCTTTGACTAAGAGGTCATTGAGTTCGAATATTGAAATGTCAATCCGAACATAGCTCAATGGGTTAAGGCACCTATGTATGTCTAAATGATCGTGAGTTCGAATTCTCATTTCCATATTTTGTGTATTCTATAAATATATATATTTTAAGTATATTACAATCATTATGAACTTTATCATATTTGACATGTCCATATGTTTACTTTTTTAACACATTTTTCAAATTATATACGTGTGTTGCAAATATTTATTAAAAGATCACAAACTAATTGTAGTATGAAAAACACAAAAACTTTAGAAGGATGTTCAGGTGAATAATAGATCTTTACAAGTTGTTAAACCCAAAAATCAGTTATACTATTTCCACATGATGTTTTTTTTTCCTCCAAAAAGTAGTATATAGTGCGAATGATTATTTGGACTCATATATTAGTGACAAAATTGAGTCGATGCTACAAATAAAAGAAAAAGAACATGAATGAAGAATATATACTTGTGACATTTTGAGGAATAATTGAGTGAACATTATGCATATGCGTTTCAAATGTTCCCTATGTATCCAATTGACAACAACAACTATTTGAAATTCATATATAGGATTGGTTTGTTAACAACAAATAATTATTGCAAGAGTTCGATTTCTTAAGGATTCTACGTTGAAAAGAAAAGAGACCTTACAAAGGTTTATAACAGACATTGGCTACTTCTCTCATTGCCAATTAATTTGGTGATCGAACCCCATAAATATTAATATGATATTAGAGCCCAACAAGTTCAAACGAGCATCAAATCCAAACATGGGATTCGACAGTACAGTGGATTCAAATTAAGGTAACTATCTAGTTAAGATATATTAAGTATTCTACGAGTTTTCAGTTAAGATATATTAAGTATTCTACGAGTTTTCTAATCTCGAAGTGGGTATCATATAGGATTAGGTGATCGTCTTGTCTAATAAAATTATTCGAGAGGGACATGGTGGGGTATGACACTCTCTAATTGTGAGTTGGGTATGTTTTGTTTTGTTTTGTTTTTTTTGGTTAGAAAATGATAATGAATATGTGGCTTGAAGACAAAGCATAGGTGAGAAAACAAAGCATAATGTGGAGAATAGACATTGCACAAATGCTTTGAAATGCCCCAAATCCTTAATATGCTAGTGATTTCCATGTAGACTAACCATATATATCTCTCCAAAAGTTGAGAAGGTGATGTAATGAAAAATGAAAATTATAATCTTCTTTTACTTTGCAAATTTGCCTTTTGTTTGTTAATGGAGGCATGTGGTTGTCACACTTCCATTTTGGCATATGGATATGTTGGGGAGAAAAATATTTTTTTCCACCATATGTTTTGATTTTTACTCTTGTTTTTTTTATATATACACACAAAATATATACATGGAAGAAGATCATATATCTTTAGGAGCAAAAGGAAAATCTTATATAAAATATGTTAGTTAAATTAACTGTAGTTGAATAGAAGTTATATGCTGTTGATGCTAATTTCTGTCAAGTGTTGAGGATCAACGTGAAATGAACTCTGGCGAGTTATTGCAGAGCGAGCTAGAGAGAGAAGACCTGCAAAAATAGGAAAAGAACTTCAAAGTTCAGGTTAGTTTGAGTTCGAGCTAGACAGTTCATCTTCAGACAAAATTGCATACCTGATTAAGTGGAATGAGGGTGTACTTTTAGGAGATAAGTGGGCACTTACCCATATTATCAGACTGTAAAACTGTTTCTCAAGTAGGTGACCTACTCCTTACTCTTGATATAGTATCCTATGACATTAGAGCTTGCTTCTGAAGGGCTCGGGTATGGTTTATCTACAAGGGGCTAAGTCCACTACGCCAACTTGGGAGCTCGTTGTCAATTTTGACTATTGAACTCGGCCCACGTGGCTCACGACCTCACCTCCCACATGCGAAATTGATCCAAGTGTGGATTAAAAGAATGTATAGATTTTGAAATTTCTTAGTAAATGGGTAGTTTTATTGTTATGACATGTTGTTTGGTACACAATTGACTTGTGTTAATCCGAGTATGTTCTTTTTGAAAATGTGTAGAAGTATGTTTTGAGAAGTATATTGGATGTTTTTTCCCTTTGTAGAGACGTGTTATTTTAGACGTTCTTTTTGCGGTCTTTTTTTCACATAAAATTTTTTAGTTTGATGTATATCTCTTTCACAATTCATTATCGTTTTAAAGCAACCACGTTTTTTCAAAAAGACACGCTCTATATACCAAACAAGTCTCTTGAAGAAATGTATTTAGATTGAGATCGAGATCAAAACGATCTTTTCTAGATAACCTGCTTTTAATTATAAACCTGAGGATATTAGATATATTTATCAGACTAATCCTATATATTTTCAATTAGTTAGCTAATGATGAGTTTCAATTGGTTTTGGTCATAAAAGTTGATTTCAATAATTGTTTTCATTTTTCTTGAATTGATAGATCAATTTTTACATCAGTATATCTTAACATAGATAAATAGATGAGATACACAGACCACATTTATTTTAGTAACAACAACTAATTAAGCTTAAAAACTTGTTTGTCCTAGAAGAAAAGCAATAAGCAAGGGGGAAAAAAACATAAAACATATGCATGAAACTGGTTTAATCTTTTAAAAGAATTCTTTTCAATTTCAATAAACTTTTATTCAATAATGAATCAAATTCTTTAAATTAAATACATATCGACATCCACATCGATTCTTTATTTTCTTAATTTGATAGCACTATGTGATGTCAAAATCAACCAAAATTAAAAATTAAAAATTGACACATCGTGACAAATTAAGAGTTAAATTTGATCTATCCCATTATATTTATATGTATTTAAATTTGATCTACCCTATTATATTTATATGTATTTACACCTTTGACGTCAATTTCTAGATTCGTCCGTTCTTAAACATTTAATCAAAATAATTTAAATGAAACAAAACAGTCTATGGTTAATTAATTACTTATAATCAAATCTACAATAACCCTATTTTTTTTCTCTTAAAAGAGAGAGAGGAAAAACTAAAACTAAAACTAAAACAAAAAAAGAAAAGAAAAAAAAAAATCCTTCCTTTTCTCTCCCACTCTTCAAAGGCATTTCCAACTTTTATTCTCTCTCTCTCTCTTTCTTTCTTTTCAAAAGTTCTTTTTTTTTGGGTAAAAAAAAATTGTATCAATGTTCAAGCTTTTGGTGGTGCTTTTTGCATAGCAATAACAATAATGGGTGGAGGAGGAGATGGCAATATTGAAACACTAATTCCGACAATGGATGTTGTGTCGTTCCTTTGCATTTCGATGTCGTTTAATGATGATGATGTCGGTTTTTCTTCTTCTTCTTCTTCTTCTTCTTCAACTACAGTTGCCAATTTCTTCCCAACTTTTGCTTCACAAATAATGAGCTTCACTGGCTCAACAATGGCGGCCTCTTCTAGAACTGCTTCCTTCTGATCTTTGTAATCTCTGTACTTCCCCCACAGCACTGAGTACAGCCCCACCACCATTAGAACACCTCCAACAACACTGCACAAAACAAAAACCAAAAATCTTTCGAGATTAAATTACGGTAATGTATCGGTTTAAAGTTTTAAGGTTTAACGGTGATTTAATATGTTGTCGGATGATGAACCGTTGCAAATTAAGATGCTTATTTTGTGCTGAACGCAGTTAAATTTTTAACATGGAAGGAGAAATGTTTAAGTAGAAATATTTTTTCTGTATTTAGAAAAAAGAAAGAAGGAGCCTAATCAATTTTTTTAGTGGTGATCAAAATTTAGTACAGTACTAGTAAATAAGCAAGGGAAGTATTAACAATATAAATAAAAGAGTAAATTTTGATATGAGATTATAAGTTTAGTAATGAGCTATCATGTTTAATAAATTTATAAATTTTTATTATTTATCTAATAAATGTATCTCACAAATTTAAGAAATGTGTTTTAATTAATATTTAGACACTTTTTAAAATTCAAAGATTTTATTAGACATAACATTGAAAGTTCAATAATTATTAGATAGGTTTTAAATTCAAGAACCTATTAGACACGTTTTAGAAAAAGTTTATAAACTTATTACTTTTTAAAAATTCAAAGATTTATTAGACAAAGTTCAAGGATCAAACTTGTAATCTAACCCCAAATTTACTATAATCTAATGGTTTAAACTTTTGAATTCAAATTCTCACTCCACTTCTTGCTTGAACCATAACCAAATAGGTTTAGTGGTAATTTTATATGGTAGTATCACATTAGAATGTCGTCCTACGTTCGATCTTTCTTTTTCTCCTCAATTAACATTTGATACATCACTTGTTGGGTTGTATATTAATTTCCAAGTTCACACCAATAGTGTCAAGAATATGAATAAAAGATTAAATTTACCATAAACTTTAAGTTCAACAGCGATTTAATGAGAGAGACGAAAACTAACCGTCCGATATAGATCTTCTCGGCGAGCATGAAAGAGCCCATAATGGCTACAATGATCATTATCATAGGGGTAAAGGCAGTGACAAACACAGGCCCTCTCTTCTGCATAATCATCCCTTGGACATAGTAAGCAATGCTTGATGAAACTATTCCCTGAAATTAAAGTTGATTCAAAACATTACACTCATTTGCTTTTCGTCTAAGAGAGCGACTATGTTTCTGTCCATTGTACACACCGCCTGTTACTCCTATCGGTTGAATGGTCCGATGAAGTGTTCGAATCGTAAAACTATAAATTTCGTCCCAGGAAAAGAAGAAAAAGAAAAGAGAGATTATATTCTTACAGCATAGACAGCAGCAAGAAGATTCATGTCCCACCCAATGGTCCAAACAGAAGATTTGTTGTTTTCCATTACAAAAGTGACAGCCATGGATTGAAGAGTCCCCAAGAAGCACACAAGAGTGGTGAGTGAAAGATGAGCTGTGTACTTCTTTAGTGTCATTGCCTGTGATGGACCAAATAACATTCCAAATTTTACAACTTTTTTCTTTTACCGCATGAAAATGAAACAATAGTTTAAATCCTAGCTATTTTGAGTCTTAAGTTTCTACATTTATCCCGACCGGGTCCTTATACTTTCAAATATTTCATTCTAGTCCTTATATTACACCTCTATAGAGTATTTGATAGGTATCTTACGTGGGATGGTGCGAATTTCTATTCTAAGCTATGGTATTAGGCTTAGAATTCAGCACTTATTTTTTTAAGTCTATATCAAATCTTATATTTTAAAAGATAATAGTTTAAGGGTGTGTTTGAGAGTGATGGTAGAATGAGTGATTTTGAAAAAAAAAAAAAGATTTAACTATAATTGATTTTCCAAAATCATCATTCGAGTGATACCTTAAAACTCCTTTCCTAAAATCAATTATGATAAATAAAAAGGGTAGTGTGATTTTCGCAATGGAAAAATGCCAAAATCACTCTCAAACACACCCTAAATCCTACTTCGTTTCCTAAATTTTCAATCTCGACCAGGTTTTTGTTCTATTCCTTTAATTTTGCATAGAAAAGATCATTTAGTCATTACATTACATTTCTTTTGAGTATTTGATAGAAACCTATACGCGTCACCCACAAACTTATGATCACTTATGTTTGAACTTACGTGAACCAGATCTGCTATCGAAATTTAGATAGAACGGAAATTTAACGATTGACATTAGTGAAAATTTGAAGATCAAAATAGTATTTAAACCTACGACGACTTACCTGAAAGATGAAGAATGAAGCCCAAGCAAGATTAGCAAAGAGGAGGAGAATGGAGCCCTTGACCCAATCTTGATAAGTGCTTTCCATGGAAGCAGAAGAGTGAAGATAATGGTGAGACCAGAAGAAGCTTATGACATTCCCTTTGTATAAAGTCATCAATATGGCTCCACCCACTGTCACCATTGTTCCCACCACCTTGGCTTGGCACTTCACTTTCTTCATCTCCAACTTCTCCATTCTATATAAACACATCATTTTCCAATTGTCACAACAAATTATTAATCACCTCTTTCAAAATTATAATAATACCTTCATTATCAATAAGAAAGTTGTGTTTAATTTCTTCAACTTTAAAGGGGTTTTGGTGGGAAAAATAATAATCTCCCATCCACATCACTTCACATGGAGATCAAAAGTAAATTCATGGGTACAAGTTTATCTACGTACGCGGTTTTGAGATAGAGTTCGAAAGCAAGTTCGCTATGATTTAGTTTCGTCGAGTTGTAATAAAGCAAATTCATACGGATAAAGGCGAAGCCAAAAAAGAAAAGATGAGGTTATTGTTAAAGATCCCACATTGATAAAAGAAGGGACCTTATATAGGTTTATAATAGACATCTACTACTCCTCTCTCATTGTCAATTGGTTTTGAGATGCAACCCCATGAATATTAATAACTTATCATATAAGTTTTCGGCCGAAGTTAAATAATAAATTTCTTTTTTCGGGTTTAATTTCAAAGTGAATAATAATATCTTATTCGTTGTTATTTACCTACAAAGAAGAGCCAAGATGAATGTCATTGCAGGAAGCATATTGCTCATGGCACAAGAGAAGGTTGGAGAAGTGAGCTTTAAACCAGCATAATAGAAGTTTTGATCAATCACTGGTCTGAAAAACAAGAGATCAAAGAAAAACAAGAACAACTTTTTAAACCAAATTACTCAAGGAGAAGTACTGATCATACAAATCTGAATAAAAAAGATTAAACTTTTGCACTAACCCTAACAGACCCAGAAGCAAAATCTGCATGAACAGAGGGAATGTAATCTTGGGTCTCACTTTCCTGCAAAGAAAATCCAAACCCCAAACAGAAAATAAGGTGAGAAAGTTGAGTATCCTCGTAAAGCCAAGTAAAACTGAAAAAAATACGATAGAAGGGTTAAAGGTACTTTTGTCGTTGCAAAAAAAGTAATTTCTCATTTAGAATTATTATATTTCTTTGAAGTGATTTGTAAAAGCGCTTTGGAGGACTAAAAAATGCTTTTTAAAAAGTATTTGTAGAGTAATGTATTCATTGAATTCAAAGCATCTAGAGGCATAAATGCTCCTAATCAAAGTCGTACGAGGACTAAAAACCACTCATTTGAAAAGTACTCCCAAACATGCTATAAGCGAAGTTGAGTTTGGAAGGGCTTACCGAAGAAAAAAAAGGTGTTTTAGCTCGTGGTTAGATAATAAAAAACGATTTTGAAAATGCTAGTTATTTGTTTTTAGGCGCAATGTAGTTAAATCACGCTTCTTCTAGAAAAGTGCTTACAGAAGGATTGTTTTCACTGTTAACCGAGAAGTACCTTTCGAGGAAGAAGGCAAACGGAGCGAGTGCGACGGTGGCAAACGTCTGCCGATAGGTGACGAGGACGTAGTGACTCATACCACGGTTGAGAGCGACCTTGGTGATGATGTTCATTCCGGCATAGCCAAATTGGAGAGAGATCATGGCGATGTAAGGCTGTGCTCCCTCAACAAAATTGGCAATTCCATTTCCTTTTCCTTCCATTTCTCTCTCTCTATATCCTTTTTTCTCAGTAAATTCTTAATTTCTAGTGAGAGGAAAAAAGAGGGGAAATTGAAGAAAAGGAGAATTAAAAAGAAAAATGAAAAAAAAAAAAAGAAGAAGAAGAAAGAAATTTAGAGCTGAGGAAGAAGAACACTTCAAGAAGGTGGCAGCTTGTTGTGTCTCTCCTAAATTGAAAAATGGGAACTTTGGGTTCTTATTTATAGGCTGTTTTTTTCATGTGTTGTGCTGATTGGTCTGTTTGTGTCTGATGATGATGGGGTTCTGATCTGCTGTGTGGTTATCCATTCAAGCCTGATGTGGGCTCCACGTGGCAACATCATGGAGGTGCCTTTTTTACAAGGGAAAAAAAATTAATCAGTGGTGGTTTCTACTGTTTATATATATATATATATATTCATGTATAACATCTCGATGGGAAGGTTCGAACACACAACTGATTGAAGATAATATCTTAACAAATTGAGCTATGTTCAAGTTGACGTTTTTTCCAATAAATCATAAAGTATAAAAAGAGAATTTATGATATTATTTTAGTACTGTAAACAATATGGTATTAAATATCTATCGACATATCGACATTTTCATGTATCAATGGGTTCAACATCGACATAAGGGGTAAATTGACATTTCCATTATATTACAAAAAAGAATCGATAAAATATGAGAAATATATGTCACTAATATATACCATAATATTAATAGCAACTATTTTTAACTTATTTAATAGAAGACGGTTAATTTTTTTGATTTTTTTTATTTTTCTAACTTTTATATAAATATTCACCGTCCACATTTTAATGATATTTCTATGAAAATGAAACCTCGACATTTTTACCGATATTTAAACTTTAACTATAAGACATATATGGGATATCCATAATCAATAGGTTAATTTCAATTAAATAAAATATAATTGAACTACATTTTTCAATATTTGAAATGACAATTTTATCCTCCAGATCAATCTCTATTATATATATGTAGGGATCTGTCTTCGTGAAGATTTTATGGTTTGATTTATTTCTTTTATTTAGTTTCTGGAAAGAGAGATATTCCTCGTCCCCTACCTTGATTATGTACTTTAAAAAAAAAATTGAAATATATTATTAAATTTTATATTCATAAAATAATAATAATGGTTTAATAATTTAATAATTTAAAATTTCTCTCAAATGTTAACTCTAATAGGTATATTTTAAATATTTGTTAAAATTTAATAATAAAAAAATTAAAAGAAGAAAATGTTAGAAAATTTTCCTCCTTGCTCGGAAAAAAACCCTAGTCATCAAGAATAGTAGCTCGTACCGTACCCCATTTCTATTTTTTTTTTAATACAACATGTTGGGGAGGGGATTCGAATTCACAACCACTTGGTTGGAGGTATATGCCAATTACTGCTGAGCTATGCTCGCTTTGGCCCGTACCCCATTTCTATTGTCATTTATAACCTTAACTAATATTATTATGAAATTGTTCAAAAGTATTAATATATCAATATAAATTGTATTTCACACGCTAGTTCACGGATTAGAAAGTAAAAAACAAAGACCACAAATAATCTTTTACAAAACTAAAAAGTAATATACAATATATTTTAATCTAAAGTAATAAAGTAGTACTCTCACCTTTCTTTTCGTGTGGATAACAAAATTCAACGTACATAAATTAATGTCTTAATATAGTAATTCCTTTTAAAATTTTATATTCAATAATAATATCATTTGACGAAGAAGTTAACATCATAGAAAGATGAGTAATTGATGATAAACGAGAGAGAGCGTGAATTAAATTTCAAACTCTTTTTCTTTTTGAATAAAGGAACGTATTCATAATTTGAGGTTGTCCCATCCTTATAAGATACAATCTTATATGTTCATCTTCATGATTCAGTGCATGAAGAAGAGACGAACTAGGCAACATGTTGCACTTCCCCAAATAAGCATTGTTCCATTGGAGAGTTTCTCGAGTTAGTGCAATTTTTTTAATCCAAAATCGATATCTTTTTTTATTTTTTTCACCCTATAAACTGAGCCACCTACACTCGTATCAAAGTTCGAACTCAAAAGACATGATCAAGAAGTTTTAGTATTAAGCTTGCTCAAAGATTTTAACAGTACAAGACTTCATATAGATCGGTAATACTACAAAACTATACGTCCTTACCAATGAGACTGTCCCTTTTATCTTTTAATTAGAGGTGAGACAACGTGGGTAGATGAGTAGGGTACATAGAAGGGCATTTGTATATATTATTGGTGAGTGTCCTGCAACTTGAAATGGTGTAAGGCACTTGAATATGGACTACCCTAGCTAGCTACCATACAAAATATAAAATTAAAGAAAAGAAAACTTTTTTTAATGAAACATGGAATCCTCCCACTTTACTACTATATTGGAATTCAAAAACAACGTGGTATATTGAATTTTATATATATATATATATATATAAAGGTCGAATTTTAAAGTTGTGGGTCAAATGAAAATCATTTAAACATTGTATTCAAATAGAATATTTAGAGCTCAAATTAAAAAAGCATAATTATTCTCCCTTTTCCTCAAATCATTTATATCAATTTTAATGGAGTCGAAAGATTCAAACTCATTATATTACTAACAATAATTTATAAGTTATTGATAGTATCGGCGAGAAGTTTTGAATCATTATTAATTATCAGCTTTTGAAGCGTTTTCTATAATTCTATCATCTTCTTAATCTCGTATTTTAATTTGTAAGAAGAGAAAAAAAAAAGTACTTTTTATGGGAAAAAGATTTAAAAAAATTAAAAAGAAAAGAAAAGCCAGCTATCAATATGTGTCAAACCCCTCTTACATATCTAGAGCATGCTTTTTTAAAGGAGCAAAGGAGGGTAGCCACAAAGATAGAAAATAGCAAAAGAGGCCTAGAGAAGCTTATTTAGTCTTTTTCTCTATATCTTTTCTTTCTTGTCTATCTTTAGTTCCAAGATTTTTGTGATTTATTTTTAATTTAAATACATAGTACTACCAACCTTTTTTTTTTTACTTTAACAATATGTAGGGACGAAGATTCGAATATCTAACATTTTGATTGAATGATATATTAGTTGAGGTATATTCAGGTTGTTAAGGTATTAGATGTTATCTTTTAATAATGTGATTATTGTTATTTGTTAAATATTTTTGTTGACCAAACTAGAATTGTTTCATTGTTAATAGTGAGCGGCTGAAGTTGTAGGGAACTGAGGAGCAAAGCAGTAGATAAGATCGAAGAAGGGCCAGGCTCCCGGTGGGGCAGAGGAAAGATAGGTCGGTCAAACAAAAACAAGGTGCAATGGGCTCTCCCTCCGCTCCTAGTCACAGTGATTGGTGTGGAGGGGGAGATCTGTTTATGATATAGTGAAAGAAAGAGTCGTCTCATTTCCTTACTTCATCATTCTTTCTAATTCATTCACTTCAAGGCTGGGTCTGAACGTCGCGTAACATTATCTTCAACCAACCTCCACCGAACCCATCACAGAGATGCACAAAGGAATAGAACGAACGTCTTTTATCTCTTTTCCACTCAATCCAAAAACAAGATCAGATATTGGGGACACCAAGAAGGAAGAAAGAAATAAAGTACCCCGCTGACTTCTTTCTCTCAGTCTCCAGAAAAAAAGCTTGTTGGATTGTTAAGTAATTTCCGTTAATTTATTGAAGAGATAAAATATAATAATTTTTGAAGTTTTTATGTGAAAGGTGAATATATATTTCTCTATTATCCATTATTTAGTTAGTTTTTTTTTTTAAGAGAAATAGAAAATTCACTTTCCAAAAGAAATTCTTTATAAATTGTGTAGTGGAATTTGCCAACATCTTAACCTAAGAAATTAGTCTCACGTTGACTAAAAGTAGGAAAGTTTTATAAGTATAGTTGGTATCTCTATTGGAATGAATTTTTGTTTTGTTTTTTTAAACCAAAATTAAATTCATGTCATTTAGGTCTAAAATCATCCATATATATCATAATATTGGAGAGGTATCTAATCCTAACAAATGTATAATCACAATAAGAATGATCACTTTTCAACCATGAAAAAGATAGCGGCGTTTAAACGTCGTTATTTTGCAACAAAAATATATAAGTTGATTCCTCACTTTATTGCTTGGTATTAAGTATATGATCGGACCTGTCTTTTTTAGATATTTTACTATTTATTTAAAACAATATTGAGTAACTTGTGACTAGTAATAATTAAAGGTCAATGACCAGTTTTAACCATTAATTTTTTTTTTAAAAGATATGTCATTTTATAAATAATATTCTTTGTTAGTTTATTTTTATTTTTATTTTTTAAAGGATAATTGTATTAATTTTAGACAATTTTATAATAATCATTTTTGTATTTTAAAATATAAGTTGAAAATTCAGATCTCCCCCCTCCACCTTAGAATTAAGTTGAAATATATACATATATAAATTCCACCTATTTGTAATGTTATATATATATTTTTAGTACAATAAATATAATAAACATAGAGGGACGAAGGATTTAACTTTTGACGAAAAGAATAAAACAACTATTTTCTCTTCATTTATTTTTTAATAAATATTATTATTGTTGTTGTTGTTATTATTATTATTATTATTTTGAAATATTATTGTTGTTATTATTATTATAGAGGTATAGTAGGATTCCACTAGAGAACACATGGAATTCAAATATTAATAGTGGTGTGTATACTAAGGGGATCCAACATTAACTTTCCTTTATGCCTTTCCCCCCTTTTCTTCTCTTGGTTTCTTTCAAAAATCATTTTTGGAACAAACTTGATGGGAACACAATTTATATATATAGTTCACTCTAATTTTAATTCATTTTCATATTTAAATTCTTTTTTGAATTTCATATTTTTACTTTCGATATATTTTATGTTGGTTTTTACTTTTTTATAAGATCATGTTTGGTAACGGAGTCTTTTTATGGGAAAAAGCATAATATTAGATGGAAGAACGGGAAATCCTTTTGAACAACCTGTTATAATAGGAAAGTCTTATATCTTTAAATTAATTCATC